ATTGAGGTAAGAGAAGTTAATTATTCTTCAATTTTCATAGTATTCTATGCTAGGAGATCTGAATTGTGAATGTGACTTGGTCACATTGTTTAAGTTTCAGGAATTTAGATTGTGTAATTATGTATGTGTTGATTGGTAGGTAATGATTGTATTGAATGTGAATGTATGATTGATTTATATGAGATTGAAAAAGATAGTCTTTTGTATGAATGTATTGTTCTAAGATTGAAATTAGTAAATGGATTTACAATGTGAAGGATAAGGTTTAGGCTGAATTTCATTTTGAAATTAGTAAATGGATTTTTGGCATATTATGACAAATCCGCCCAACAAACTTAATACAATATTGAAATCGCTTGTAATTCGCTCAGTGTTTTCAGATTCACCTAGCGAATTTTAGACAACAACGCTTTCAAATTTGCTCAACAGTTTTTGAAAAATCATAAAAAAATAGTTTCAAACTCCCAATTTAATGTTCCATATATGCAAATCGAGACCTTAAAAATAAGGAATTCAATGAAATAAAAAATAGTTAAAAAGAATATCTACAGCAAAATTTATGATCAAAAGAATAGATAGAGATCAAATTAGAAAAAAAAAATTATTTTGTTATAATGTAGGAAATTATGTGTTTGTGCCTTAAGCTATTAAAATACATGTTATGAACATGAAATGAAATGTGTTGAATACTAGTATGTATATTGAAAGATATTGTATTGTGATATGAGAATTACCAAGGGGTATTCTCATGTGCGTAATGTTGTATGTATAGATATTGATTTGGGACTCGATGATATATCCTAACTTTACTAATTACTGAAATCACATATGAAAGGATCAAGTGGTGAGAGTTAAAAGAAGTTTATAATAACTTAGCCTGTGATATAAAAAAAAAACTGTGTTTTGATAAGTTATTTAGAAAATTACCCTCTGATCACACGTGAATGTATATATAGAATTGAACACTCTTGTGTTATGCACTTGGGAGAGTTGTGGTGTAATAGGTACAAATCTTTTATCTCTATTTCAATATCTAGTCTTCTAGAAGTCGTCTAGTGTCTATGTGACGTAAATGTGAGCCTTTATGAACGTGTGATGTGATATATGCAAATTTGAAGTTCAATTGTGTTGTTTTATCTCACATATGAATCTTGTATACTTAAATTGAACTACTAACTTACCCTGTGTGTTTTGTAGATATTTGTAACTGTAAGGATAGTGTGTTTTGTAGATATTTGTAACTGTAAGGATCGTGTGTTTATAGGGGAGTAGATTTGATAGGTGATAGACCTCAATAAAAGTAGGTTTGGAGATAGGAGTAATATAAATTTATATTTTATTTATTTTTAAAGTCATAAATATGTATGTATATATTTTTCTGAATAAATGTATATTTTGAATTACTTTATGTATCTCGGTTTTTTTTATCTATATATATATATATATAAATAGAAAACATTTAAATATAAATAAATGTGGAAGGAGTTTCAACAAGAGAATGAAATGATTAAGAAAGTGTAAAGGATGTTTCAAAATAGATAAATGGTGGTTTTTTATTACTTTTATTTATGAAATTTATTTGAGATAAAAGATTGAGTAAATATATAATTAAATGAAAAATATGAAATGCAATATATAATGTATTAAAGAATGACATTAAAAAAATAGTTATAAAAAGAATTTCTTTTATATATATTATTATAGATAAAAAAAATGAAAAAGAGAGACATGATTCATATAAAAAGGTATAGAAAATAAAATAAAATAAAATTTAAAAAATATAAAATTACATTAATTGGATCAAAATTAAATTGATAAAAAAAATTAATCAAAATAAAATTTCTTTTAATTCTCCTATATTTTTTTTACAACTACATAATTTAGATTAAAAATCAATAATTAAATGAACTAAATTAAATTATTTATTATATTTAAATAGAATGTTATATATTTAAAATTAATTATTAATAAATACACATAAATAAATTTTTAGAAATTTTGTTATAACTTAGTTGTATTTCATTTATAATATATTTATATTTATTAAAATATAATAATAAATTTATATTATAATTTTTAATTTTAAGTTATATAATTTATCTATAAATGCAAAAAAAATTAAAATGATAAATATAATAATAATAACATAAAATATTATGAATTATTTTTTATATTTGATTATTTTAATTATAAAAATATTGAACAATTATTTTATTAAAAATGTTTTACAATGTTAAAAAAAAATATATATATATATATATATATATATATAACACTTTTATAATGATAAAAATCTTAGGTGAATACAAATCAAACACAAAATATTAATTTAAATTTTATATTAAATTAAAAATAAATTACATTTAATTGAAATAATTATTTAATAAATAATTCAATAATACACTTAATCAAACCTAAATTGAGTATATCTGTCTGGAGGACGAAAATTTCGCTCCCTTTTTTTCATGGAGAATAGTTTGGATGAAAAAGGGTAAATATTGAAAAACTGAATTTCCTAAAATGTAATTATATTTTAATTCTTTCACAATTGATCTCTCTCTATATATAATTTTTTCTTATTACAAATTAAAATATTTTTAAAAATTTTAATCTAAACACAGTCTATGATAGCAATTTTACGACTACAGAAACTTGCATTAGAAGCGAAAATATCACATATTAAATTTGTGTTTTATTATATTGGATAAATATTTTTATATAAATAAAAATTTTAGATATATAAATAATATTATTGTTCTAGAATCAAATTTTACAATAAAATAATTTTTAAATTTATAATAAACAATTTAAAATATAATGCCTTTTTAATTATTAATAATTTATTTTTAAATAAAAAATATTCAATTAAATTTGATGAAAATTAAATATCGTATATTAAAAAGAAAAATATTAAGAAGATCAAACCTACAAATAATAAAAGAGTAATTTAAAATTATCAAGGAATATTGTTTAGTTAGTTGCAACCGTGTGTGAAATTCATATCTAAAAAATCTAAAAAGGAAAAAATATATAATTATATTATAATAGAAAAATAAATAGATTAATTACATCTTAAAATAGATTAATTATATCTTAATATATATATATATATATATATATATATATATATATATACATATATATATATATATATATATATATATATATATATATGATTTAACTTTTCTGTTTAATTTTCTTTTGGCGCATGATTTATTGGACTTAATCGTTGAGTGAGCAATTGATGATGATGTCATAATCAAGTATTATATATTTTTGTGCAATATTAAAAAAATATATGCTATCACAGTAATTTTTCAATTCAATACTAAATAAAAACAATAATCAAGGAAAGTAAAAATAAAATAAAAAACTTGCAGGGAGTCCTGAAAACAATTTTAAAGAATTAAAAGCAAACACCGACGTGTTTTCAAAGATGAAATATATTTAATTTTTAAATTTAATATAAAAATAAAATAAAAGTTTAAATTTAATATATGTTTGATAGTATATTTTTCTGATTTTTGGAAAAAAGTCACAATTATACTACACTATGATGTTTTAAGAATTTATTTTCTACACCACAACACATGAATGAACATGACCCAATCACTGATTGTAACTGCTAGTGAGTTTCAAAGACGTAAGGAGGATAAAGTTGAACAAGACTTTATTTAAAAATCCTCAATACCTAAACTGGTCCATGGCATGTTGTAGAATTTTGTGACCTTGACTTGACTATTTTAAATGTTTTGACATCGTAACCAATTATCTTCTTCATTAAAAATCAACATTTAATACGACTCTAGTTTAATTTTATAAGATTCAAAATAAAATTTGTATATTATAATTTAACTATATTTTTAATTTATATGAAATTTTCAATCTATCTTTTCAAATCAAATATATAATTAATCTTTAACTTACATTTTTTAAACAGAGAAAATATGTAATTTAATAAAATATAATAATAGGTAACACAATAAAAAAAAACTTGTTTGTTTTAAAATTGTAATTATCTTTAAAAAATATACCAGTGAAAAACATGATTGTATATAAATTATTTTAATTTCGATTTGGGTTATATATATATATATATATATATATATATATATATATATATATATATATATATATATATATATATATACTTAGGTTTTTATCTCTATCTTCATTATTCTTCGTCAAATTATCCTCTCATTATATACCCAAGTTACCATGTTAGTCCTCTAAAATGTCACTATACATATTATTCTTTTGTAAATACTGTTCCCAAAATTAATCTCTTAAATTCTATTCATAGAAGAATAAAAATATATGGTATTATTTTAGAACTTTCAAGAATTAATCTTTAGGTAATTAAAAAAACCTAATAGCATAATTATTCGTTTTATATATTGATGAGAAACCATTTGATGGCTGAATTTTATTAAAGAAAAATAACCAAATGATGTGCATAAATTTGAAAAACTATTTTATGTTTTAGCTTATACAAGTCATGCATGATGATTGGTCGAAGTTTATTATGTGCAAGTCAACGCATCTTTAATGAAAGTAGAGAAACTATGTGCATGTTATAATAAACATGGCATGCATGCATGGGAGCCAGCAAATTTGAGGGCAAGATCTATGGAAGTAATGAAGAACACGGCACAAACAATATACATCATCATCAGTAACAGTTCAAAAATCCAGAGAGAGAGAGAAAAAATACACAATAAAACATAGAAGATAGAATGAAAGAACATTAAAGAATGAAATTGTTTTATTTCAGTTGAACCAGAAAAAAAAAATATTGCCTTAGTTCAAGAAGAATATATATTACGTGTATATTCTGTAATCTATTTACATACAAACATAAACTTTGATTGAATAACATGAATACGATAGAAGATCATATATATGGATGCCTAAATCAAGATCACGAGACATATTCTTGAGTCTCAGGAGATGGCTATATATATAGCAGAAGAAGAAGAAGATGATGATGATGATCCAAACTAAGTTACAACTTCTGGCAAGGTTGGTGGTGCAAGAGCAACGTTGGTTTGGAAGGTGCAGCGTCCACGGTTGCGGCCAGGGACGGTGGAACAAGGGTTTCTCTGGGAACCCTGCACGGGGCCTCTCTGTAGTGATTGTATTATTAGCTTATTCTGCCACAATTTGTTCTCTTTCAATGGCCTAACTCCCCATGTTTGTTGTAAACTCAATACCAAAATTGTGGTGAACACCAACATCTTCGTGTAGCGATCCATTGTATGAGAGGAAACAAAAGTAAAACAATCAAAAGGGTTTCTCAAACTGAAGAGAGAAAAGGAGATTTGAGACGGTGGAGAGTCTTTTGAATGAATGAATGAATGAATATGGTGATTATAGATATGTTTATATATGTAGAACATGACAAAGTGGCTAGGTAGCTAGGTTTGGATTTGTTGAATGTTTGCTTTGACCAAAACAAAACCCCGCGGTTTCAAGATTAGGAGAGTAAATCAGAAGGATGAAAAGGTGTAGATATTTTAAATGAAGTTCAAACACCCCGAAATTTCCTTGCAATTTGCAAATGCCAATTCCTAGTTGGCTAGTTGAACGAGTCCCCTGACCCATAATTAAGGTTATTCACGTTCAACATCTCTACTTTCGCAGACACTTTTCGTTGTGTTTCTTGTCATGCCACTTTATCACGCTTAAGTCTTCACCACTGACCCTACGACCATGACTATGTCAACCAGCTCAGATCATTTTGTTCCGCAATAAACATGTAGAAAAAAGTTAGGTTTGGATTTTGTTTTCTACATATATATGGTCTTTCATGGGATTGCCTCCATGAGACGAAACAAGATAAAGTAAATTGTCTCTGTTGTACAATTCATATTTACTGCAGCAATCATGGTTTTTCTTTCCACTGTCTTCAAAATAATGGTTAAAGAATCACATGGGTAGTTTTCTTTCCATTGATAACAGTAAGTGTTGCAATTTTTAATGAAATCCTTCAATGATAAGCAAAATAGAAGAAATTCCAATCTTTTTCCTTGAAGCTGCTTTGGTTTACTTTAAAGGGGTTATGAAAATGTCAATTGATTAAAAATGGTACAAGATCAACACTAAACATGGTAAACTCCATGAACTAAATCAAATAGACTTATCTCAATCTCAATAGCTGACTATCCAAATTAATTAGAATTCTTGAAAATGTGGTGTCAGTTCATACTTTGTTTAAAGTTTAGAAAATCAGAAAGTCAACGGATGTTGTAGAGAAGAAGAAAATCATTCCGCGAGAGATTTTGTATACAAACAAAGTATTTGTGAAAACTAAAGATGTGCGACCTGGGTCGAGAAAAGTCACCGTCAATTTTTTTGTTTTTTATTGTGAAATATTACCCACTCGGTTCGCCTTGATTATTGCACAAACCAATAAATATAATACAATATGAATTGATGGTTTATGGAAAATATCTAAAAAAATTGGTTAAATTTTAAATAGTTTTTTTTATATATATATTTTAAATTTTGTAGTTGAGTTTTTCTTAGCAAGCATTGTAACTGAGTGTTTGAACTTATAAATGATTTCTAATGTGATTGACAGAGGTTTCTGACAAAATGAATGAAATACATAAATTTATTTGGAAATTCTTAAATGAAAATTAAATAATAACTTAAATTTCTGAACTATTTATTTAAAAAAATTTAAAAGAAAAAAAAAGTCCTTGTAATTAAACAAATGTTAAATGAGCATTCGTCAAATTTATTAAAACTTGGCGTAGGCCCAAGTAAACATTTTATAAGAGTAGAGACTAGATTACAAATTTTTGAAATATAAATATCTATTTAAAATATTTAATATAATCATGGATTAATAGATTAATTTAACCAAAGTTGATGTATGAGTGAATGTTAATCTTATGAATTTGCTTAAGGATCCATAGGTTACAATATATTAGACATGCCCAAATGCCATAAATCCTTTATATTACATGAAAAATTAATTTTGTAATGAAATAAATTATAAGATTACAAGTCATTTTATAAACTCTTCTAAACACTTTTTGGATTCATTACTCTAAAATCACATAGATTTCCCAGTTCCGGGTCTCATATGCTAAAGAAAGTTTCACAAAGTACTATTAATAATTTAAAAATAAATAATAAAATTTATAACATCTCCGTATTTCATATATTATGTTTTTCATTACACAGTTCCTATTTTTTATTCATTGTTAATAATTTTAAAATTGAGATATTTTATAAAATCTTAGTATATCATGTATTATGCTTTTCATCAAATAGTTCCTAATTTTTTTTATCTTCGATATCATGAGGACACTAATTAGTTTAATTGGTATTTTTAACACACTGATGGTTCAAAAAGTGAATCAATTTAAGATCATAATCTTGAATATTATAGGAGTTCATTTGATAGTCAGAATATAATATAAAACAGGATGACAGGAGTAAACTAAAAATTAATTATGTTCTAAGTTTGCAACATCATCATAAAAACCAAATGATATTAAGTGTGGATGAAATGAACACACTTTACAGTGTTCACTTTTCGGTATCCTTATCCTGAAATAACATGTTTTAACAGCTAAAACATAGTCAATTCAATCGTTTTCTAAACTATTTGCCATTTTTTTTTGCAAGAATGGCTCTTGTTCAGTGTCGGTGGTCAACGCACTACAATGGACACGAAGCAACGAAGACCTTTGAAAATGTTAAGGGAAATTTAGAACTGAGTTAAATGAATAACACACCAGATTAACAGTTTTAATATGTTGAAACACAAAATTGAAAGTTATGGACCCAAACAACAAAACCAGAATCTGTTCTGAATTACACTTGTGTGGCCCATTGTCCATTTAATCAACTTCATCTACCAACCCAATAAAAACAAGTTATACATTTTGGTTCGTTATTTGCTTTCCAGCTGGTCAAATATATTTCAAGGCACTGGCAAGGACATATTTTCATAAGAGTTAATATCAATGTGAATACAGGACTTTTCAGCCATATTACATAATTCTCTTTTCTTGCCACATGTTAGAAATAGAAAATAAAAAAATCTGTCGATTGAGGTAACAAAACATATAGCTCCAATGTTTCTCAATTTACTTATTGATACCACACCCTCCATAAGAAATCTTTTCTACCAAAATTTTTGTAGTTGGTCAAAAATGAGAAAAAAGACTAAAAAAGAATGACCAGATTCATGGGGGATAATCAACTATTGTTTAAGTAGGATTCCCAACCATGTTTTTCTAATTTATCTCCTTTGCTCAAGACGCTTTCTTTCTGGTCCTCTTGATATTGACTCATCCTGCACAATATTATGAACTTTACTTCAATGAACAAATTTTAAATCAGATATACAGAAAAGTAGAGGGGGAAGGAGAAACCTTGACAGAAGATTATCATTGGCAACACCCAAAATCCTCACTGCCAGCAATCCAGCATTAGTTGCATTATTAACTGCAACAGTGGCAACTGGAACACCTCTCGGCATCTGCATAGCCAACAAATGTGTCAGCAAGAAAAGACTATGGTAGTGTTTGGCTAAATCTACTTAAGAGCTTTGTTCATTCATTAAAATCAAACACTTTTAGTTTTCATAGATGAATAAAAATATTTAGCTAAAGTCCTCCTTATAAGAAAAGAAACTAAAAAATTAAAAAGCCAAACATCATCAAAATGTTAAAATTAGCTTTAAAATAGTTGCAAAAGGTCACTGATGGTGCAATTTCCCAAGTCCTACAACAATTGGTAGTCACTGGCACTGAATTTGACAATGATTCCACTTGTTTGGCTAATTCATATCAGGTTACTCGATAGAGATACAGCAAGGCAAAGCAATGGTAAACTTCGTACATGGCCAAAAGGAAGCCAAGTCCAGCTACAATGCTGAACCAAATAAGTGTTAAGAGAATGTGACAACAAATGTGAATCTGTGTACAGAACACACGCAACAATCCTCACTCCCACCCCTAAAAAAAACACTGAATAAAGGAAGAGGAGTTGCAAAGGAAAATTATTATTGGTGAAAGGTTGGAAATCTTGCCTTCAAACTCGTATATTAATAAATCCCCCATTCACATACAATACTTAACCTAAAAATAAGCATTCATAAAAATACAATAATCCTTAGCAATAAAACCAAAATTACCAACAGGAAAAGGCCATCATTTAGAAGGATTTAGTCAATATTGACCTTAAGCTTCTGAAAAAGAAGCAATAATACCAAATCAAAATGTATTATATTATTTAGTTAAGACTGGAAAGGCAACCCAAGAAAACAGCAAAAGAATTATGTTCAGCATGGAAACCACCACTTGATTCTCGAATTCTCTCTAAAGGGAATTCCTTCTCGCTTTCCTTGGCTTTCCGTTTTTTTCTGGCGTAAGGAAGTTATTATTTTGAAACCCTGGAGCTTAGGATGCACATTTTTGTTTAAAGAGGAAAGATAAAGGAATTTATTCCCCGCTCCATTGGCTTACGAAAAGGTTTTCCAAACAATAGACATTGGTAAAAGTACTAAACATAAGACTTGGGTTTACCCATAACCATACGGACAATTGGTAAGCATTGATATTTACACAATGAAAAAAGTACCTGGACAATTGACAAGAGTGAATCAAGTCCATCCAAGGTAGAAGCACGCACAGGAACGCCAACAACAGGCAAGGGAGTAAGAGCAGCAACCATACCTGAGATTTGAAGCTTAATTAATGTAAATAAGACACCTCATCTTTAAGATAATTATACAAAGCAAAATTCAATTGATTTACCGGGCAAGTGAGCTGCACCACCAGCACCAGCAATAATGACTTGTATGCCTCGTTCATGAGCAGATTGGGCATAAGAAAACATCAATTCTGGAGTCCTGTGCGCTGAAACTATTCTTACCTGAAAATTTGACACATGTATTTATATTTAAGAATCAATAATTTCACACAGAACTGTTTAGAAATATAAGAAATATCTTCATATATATGGTCCTGGCTTTTTACCAAATGCATTGGACTCAGCTTTTCCCGACACAGTGGCCCCAACATTTCCATGGCACAATGGCTCTAATATTTTCCCAATGCAACAAGGAAAAGTTGGGGTCATGGCACCAAGAAAAGTGGAGGCCAATGCGTGCCTGGGAAGATGGTTAACATACAGTGTATAACAGAGAAGTTGGCAACAATGCATAGCACTTATGGATCAAGGAGGCAAACCAAATTAGAAAACAATGGAAAAGTGACAATCATGCTGGAAATATGAGAGACAACAGAAGATGTGACTAACTAGAGTTCCACTCTGGTTTTTTTAATGGAACTCTAGTAGAATAGTGACTAAACATGCCACGGAGTATGGTGCTACTCTAATACCATGTTGAAAGAGAAAAAAATAGATGGAAGAAATACTGAAAAACTGTGTGTATGTACAACACAACCGAGTCCATTCTTATATAGACTACTGACATAAATACAAATAATTATAGGATATTTAATTCCTAAATACATTATATGATATGCCTATAAATCATATTCTAATAAATCTGATTTTCATAATATAGTTCTCTAACTTTAAAGATCCTTAATTAAATAAGGAAATAAATCAAAATACAAAAGAAGAATAAATCCTAAGAGATCATGTAAGATACTCTAAAATATATTTTATAACTCTGAAAAGAAAACAACAAAGCCCCTCAGGGAAATTGGAACAATTGTACCTCATGAGGCACACCAAACATCTCCAAGATTTCAGCAGCACTTTTCATAACAGGCAAATCTGAATCAGAACCCATTATGATCCCCACACGTGGAGCAACTAAAAGTATCAAACAAAACAAGGCAATAAGTGTGAGAATAACAAAACTTTAACTTCAATATCTCAACTACTTTGCCCCTGTGCAGTTCCTTAATTATAAGGAATGGTTAGAGGTAGTTTCTAATTTTCGTCAAAGAGTAGATAACAAAACAAAGAAAGGATGACTGAAAGAAATATATGAATACAAATAATAATTTGCCATTTCAATAATTTTATTTTAATCTCCCCGTTCATTAGATACTAATAATGTTTTTTAAGTAAAAATATGAGGAAGAAACAAGTAATTTGTCTTGCCCGAGTCATAACAAGACGACGAATTTTTGCAAGATAATAAGACATAATAATGGAGTTCTTCCAATAGGATAGAAAAACCAAAAAGAAAAATGTCAGAATGCTAAATCACCAAAAAATGTTAAACAAACACAAATTTTGGTTCAATAAGACAGAAGAAGGGGGCAAAGTTCAATAACAAAGGTAATCAACCGATTTGCTGGGATAAAATATATATTTTAAAAGGTTGGACAGGCAGTACTTATTTTGATTTACCAGTGATAGAATAGACATAACAAATAAAATGAAGCACAAACTTCAACATGAACACTATAACACAACTAATGTCCAGAATAAAGGATATCATGTGTGCAGCCAAAGAGCTGATATGGTAATTGTTGAAAATCCCACATCGCCTACCTCATATCATTTGGTATGGTTTAAATACATGTTAGGCTACTCCACATATTGTCAATTGGTTTTATGTTGGAACCTTAACATGGTATCAGAGTCAGGTTAACATCTTTCCGGTTATTGTCATGGGCCAAAAGTTGCCCTTTAGTTGGGTCAAAAGTACCCTTTGCCTGGTCCGGCGGGCTTCGTTGGAGGGGGTGTGTTGAAAATCCCACATCGCCTACCTCATATCATTTGGTATGGTTTAAATACATGTTAGGCTACTCCACATATTGCCAATTGGTTTTATGTTGGAACCTTAACAGTAATCAAGATTTCATAATTCATATTCAACTTAGATAATGAGTCTCACCAAAAAGAACATACTATTTTTTAATATTTTATACAATTTAAGCTGACTTCTCTTAATGCTAAAAAATGATTTTTTTACTATACCAGTGTCTTGAAGTGTTGGCTGAATGGGGACGTCTTTGCTCAAAGACCAAGTCAACAAAAGATAATTCTTAGTAGGACTTCTACTAAGTAGTGTCAAACACATGCCACATAGGTGATAGGGATGTATGTTAGAAACATGTCTAACACCCCAATAGCTAGAGTAAGAGGAGTGTTCATGCTTCGGAAACTGATACATGCTTCAAATATTACTCAATCTAAGTCTACCTAAATTGGTAATGTAGCTATGAACTGCTCATTGCCCATGTGCAACTATTGCATCTGTCAATGAGTTGACTATGAAAACCATCATCATAGGTCTAGCAACATGAGATCAATAACTACAAAAATAAAGTATAATGAAGAAAGTCTGTCACTAACCAGCAGTCTTATCATCTAATCCTTTCCCTTCCACCAGTATTGCAAGATTGCTTTCAATATTGTTAAGGGAGGGCCCAACAATGGTTATATGACCCATCTTCCGTTGCTTTTTCATTTCTGACAAATTGACATTATGGTGTTACTTAATGGTCATTGAAGTGATAAAATAACAAGATGAGAGTGAGCAAACCTAAAATTGCTGCTTAACAAGAAGTTTACCTGGCTTATCATACCAATGAACAGCCGCACCAGGGATGGCCAGTGCCCTTTTGATCAATTGATGAGCTAATTGAAAACCAGGCTCCCCCTAAAATCATTTAGTAAACTTAATAGCCTAGAGTCTGAAAAAACAGTAACTGAATGGAATGATCTTTTCAAAACAACTAAATGAACTAATGGGAGCATTCAATAGCCTTAAAATTCATTACCATCATCCAACTATGAACCAAATATATATCATGAGAAAAGTCAATCACTTTGTTCAGGTCCATAACAACATAGAAGATTTTACTTCAAATTGACTTCCATACATTCTTACAAATGTTTAATTTCAACCTATTTATATTTATATTTACATTTACATTTTGTGCATATAATAATGAGAAAAATATGATTCATTAGTAATAACACCACTCTCTTCCAACAATGCACCGATGATAATAATAATAATAATAATAATAATAATAATTATTATTATTATTATTATTATTATTATAATAATAACTCTTAGAAATTGTGGAATACCTAACTCAACTTTATAAAACCTTATAAAACCGACTCGATAAGATGAGGATTGTACTCACATATATACTATAATGTTATTATATTTCTAATTGATATAAAATTTCTCAATACATCCCCTCGTATCGTAGGAGGATTTTTCATCACACCCCCTCATATCGAAGTAAATTTTTTCAACACACTCCCTCAAATCGAGGATGAGTAATCCAATATTGGTCCAATTACATGTGGTTTAGTCCATTGTTAACAATTAATGTTCCAACATCGTTAGAGTTGACTCTAACACCATATTAGAAATGGTGAGTTTTGATATCATGTTAAAGTACCAATATAAAACCAATTAGCAATATATAGAATAGCCTAATAATTATATCACATGACATGAAGTAGACAATGTGGGACTTCTAACACGCCTCATTCAACAAAGTCTGTCGGACCAGACAAAAGGTACTAACCATAACAAAAGAACAACTTTTGATTCAAGACAATAATCGGAAAGAAATTAGGCTTTGACTCTTATATCATAGTAAGATTCCAATATAAAACCAATTGATCTTTCTAACTCAATCCTACCAAAATCATTGCGGTAAGATGAGGATTATACTTACTTATATGCTATAATGTTAGATCTTTAGTCGATGTGGATTTTCTCAATAATAATGAATCCCAAACAAATATAAAAGCATCACTTCAACATAGATTGGAGAAAGATAGACGTTATTTCAGATATATGACAGAAAATGGAGAATGAAGAAATACTTAATGCTAATACTACCTCTTCTTCACCTAATATGTTGTACATGATAGCAGCTGGGGTTTTCATTGATGGATCACCAAGTGGAAGACCAACAACAGCCCGCAAATGTTGCTCAAATTGCGAGGTATAGCAAGATTCTATTGTGTGATGCCCACTATTATGAGGTCTAGGTGCAACTTCATTTAATAAAATCTGTGAAGCAGCACATATCGTGGGATTAACAAACAAATATAAGGTAATTGCAACAGCAGAGCTGCTTCATTGGATAAAATCTGTGAAGCAGCACATATCATGGGATTAACAAACAAATATAAGGTAATTGCAACAGCAGAAACATTACTAGTAAAAATAAGTCAATGTAGCAGTCAAGAAAAAAATCACTGAGGCTTGACCAAAGTTGATGAAGAAAAAAGTAACAACCTCTCCATCCTCAGTCAAGAACAATTCAACAGCAAACACACCGGCACCTTCCAGAGAATTAACTGCATTGAAAGCAACTTCAGTGGCAAGCTCCCTGGTCTTCCATTTCACTTTAGCCGGAGCCTTAACTATGTGACATATGTTGTCCCTAGAACCAAACATATATTTTTTATTAGTTATATATGGAAGCTGAAATAGTACATTGCACATCAGGTTATTGAGATTACCATAACCAAGGTTTTGAATTTAATCTGTGGGAAATCTTGATTTAAAATCTTTCATAGTAATAAATGTATGTGTTCTGCAAGTTACCTGTGAATAGTTTCAACAACAGGATAGCATGAAATTGAATTGTCTCTTCCTCTTGCCACAATGACAGCTAGTTCCTGCCATTATTTTAGGAGAAAAATATGTAAGAGGGCCCACAAAAGACAATTTGGTGAATTGAAACGCATGCTCTGGATAAGTAAGCTTTAGATACGTAAACAAGTAAATTGCATGGAAGCACCATGAAGGATAATAACAATTCTTAGAACAGGAGGAGATTTAAGAGTAAAAGAATTTTGTAAGTTAAGAGAGCATTGTATGGCACTGAAATAAGTTGCATCACAGAATATTAAAGGCAAACTGTTGTCAAAGGCAAATACAGTAGACATTATTATTGGAAAAAATAATAAAGAGGACATTATTATTTGATTCTCAACCATAACGAAAAATTGAAACAATCATTTCAGACTAATACTTAATAAATTGACCATTATATATAAAAAAACTCAAGATTCATTGGTTTAGCACCAGCACTATCACCTAAGTCACTATCAACAGCGAAAAAGATAGACATTGACCTTGACAAAAGGCGCCCATTTTTCAGCATATAAACCACGACCAAATCCTCCAAGAGCTGCAATGTTAGGGGGTGGGGAGGTTAAAGAAGAAGTGTAAAATGTGTGAATTCAAGTATGCTTTGGCTAATGAAGGACAAATGAATTCAAATGAGTTTTTTCATGTTCTCCCTTTCTCAAGAAAATACAAGAAAAAATACACTTGTTAAAATACTAATTACCATCCACAGCAGAAGAGAGTTCCTCTTCACTTTTTGCAACATAATTTCCTCGCCCATCATAAGCTAATCTCCTACTTTTAATCATAAGAGGGTATCCAAAAAGTTCCCCTACTTTCTTAGCACCTTCAAGATCATCTATCTGTTCAAAACATATTCATTTATCTTCAATTAGTATCCTAAAGATGAATTTTCAAGTATTATTTTAACCAAGAAAAATGGTACAAACCTTCCTAAATTCAGGAAGTGGAATACCATGCCGGGAGAAGTGAACCTTTTGCTGATACTTATCCTATAATATGTTGAATAATCATGTCAAGGAAACCATTCAGATAACAACATTGCTCTATCTTTAAAATTATTGAAATTATCAATTCTATGATAAGGTGAAAATTATCCTACAACAATGGCCAAGCTTTGTGCATATAATGAAAATCTACTTGCTCATTTTCTAAATTAATAATATGCACGAAACCCAGAAAAATAATCACCTGAATAATTCTGACTGTAGAGGCTTTGGGCTGGCAGTCAACTCCCTGTTTCTCAAGTTTTTCCAATGTATCAACATCAACATGTTCAATTTCAACAGTCAATACTCCACATCTGAATATCATACTTTCCAATAAGTGACATAGAAAATGATAAATCTGAAACAACATCAATTACACAAAAAAATTTAACCTCTTGGCAAATTCCTCCACTGTAGTGCTGTCACCAAAGCTTCCAATCATATGATGATAAGACAGGGAACTAGCAGGGCAATTCTTTTGCGGATCCAAAACCATGACTTTAATGGCCATCTGAGAAGCAGCTTGACACATCATACGACCAAGTTGCCCTCCTCCCAGAACCCCAACAATCACTTCAGATAGTCCGTGAACAGGTGATTCATCATTCCTACACACACATCAATATCAAATTTTGGGCTTTTCTACTCACTTTCAGTTTCAGAAACTTCTACAGAGCAGAATTTTATATTTATCTGCCTCAGCCAAAGAACGATGGTAAACAGAAGCCCATACAATTATAAAATAAACCCCATTTACTTAAAATGCAAAATTTAACCTTAGAGAAGCATCATCATCCCGTGCTGTTGCTTGACATGTGATATGGGGCTGGTGACATTGCTTTAGGTTTAAAGGAGGAGATTGCTCCATGTAGAAACCAAGTGAAGAGGTTGTCTTAATAGAGGGATTAGCGGGTCTGAAGGCAAAAGCTGAGATGGTGGTGTGGCCTGACAACCCTATGCGTGCACTGTGAAGCATATTCAAACCTTGGATTTTTGCCACAAAAACTTTCCTTGTCTGCTAGCCTTGTTTTGAGGTGACTTTTTCATATATACAACACAAACCAAAAACCCAATTGGCTTAGAGGCAAAGCAGAAAAGGTCCTCCTTCCAAAATAATATTATAATGATAAAATAAATTCTCTTACTAACAATAAAACAGGATATATTTGCTATCGTCTACAATGCTAGTAGGTATTGAAGACAAAATTCCATTTCCAATCACGAAAGAGCTGAGCGGCAAATAAATTTCCTTTTTAATACTAAGGTAGATTTAAGATTTACTAACAGCATCTGCTCCTATGACTTAAATAAGAAGGCTAAGCAATGGCTGTTGGAACATAAACACAAAAGAGGGGGGAGACAGTGTAACTGATTGGAGTGAAAAATGTTACTTGTAATTGTTAACTCATGCGCATGAGGTGTATCTGGAAACAAAAGTGGAAGGCTACTAAACCCTGTCAGTAACACCTGCAAATAACAGCAACATTATAATTAAACAAATACCAATACAGCTGCAAATATGTACCACCCAAAAGAGTAAAAACCTGAGACCCTGCAAACTTCCATCTAATACTACTACAAATGAGAGTGATGAATTTAAGATGTTTGTTGCAGCAATCATATAAGCCATATAAATACTAAGACATTACATTCTACAAGTAAACCCATCCCTTTTATCATTGAGCTTAGGTGGGGAACTAGCAACTGGATCATCCAATTTCCTGGTGTTATATGTTCCTTTATAGTTTATGTGCAACAAAAATATCTAGAAAACGACATTTCGTTTTGTCAGTACACCGTGAAAAAAATAAAATTAAAGAGGTATCAATCGAAGACAATGATTTGGCAATTGGCTCCTTTAAAGATGAGAAAGTGTACTCTAGAAGAAAAAGTGAAGTTCCAACTTTTGAGAATTGAGATAAAATCAAACGCACACACAAAAAACTCAGAAGTTAGTTACAATCTCAACCGCCGTGATTATTAGTATATATGATAATCTACAGTGTAGTCCACTGAACTGACTTCAAATGAGTCAAATCAAGGTAATCTATCAGACCCAGAATACCCCAAATACTAAAATGATCTCAAACTGAAGCCACCCACCCCAACCCAAGTTTTCTTACTTCACAAGGCCGAATTCAAATTGAAACTTTCTAGAATAGAGCTCCTCCTGTGATGAAACGCAGTAAAGAGGAACACGGGAATATTAGAGTTGTTCCAGTCAAATGGCAATGGAAAGAAAAGCAAGGAAGGATAGCGGTTTTATTAATCAAACAAGTTTTATTCAAACCTTAGTTTTTGCCTCAAAACACCTTCCTATAGGGTGACTCTTTTCATACACATATAAATAAACTACACAGACCAAAAATCCATTTTGGTTTATGGATAAAAAGCTGAACATGGATTCCTTCCAAAAATAAAAAATAAAAAAATAGGGCATTTTCATTACTGCTTTAAAAAAAAAAAAAAAAAAAAAAAAAAAAACATAAAAAGCAAACTACCTGCAGGGGCACCGGTCGGCGATTAGGGCCTCGCGGGTAGTGTCGGAGGGGTGGTTTGTAAGCAAGGACCTAATTCACAGGAAGTTCAGTAGTAATAAAATGGGTGTTTGATTAATTGCCACTTGCTGAAAATTTTCCTTTTATACCTGTGGCTCAGCTTGTTAAAAAAAAAAATTCCCAAATCCAACAAATGAAAAAAGTATTAAACTTTTTGAATGGGAATAACAATAAAAGTTGGTGTGTGGCTGAAGTTGAGCTTGGGAAAATGAAGGATTCCGTCTCTTCCCGCCCAGCTTTCGCTACTCAACATCAATGGTGTGGTAGCTCTTAGCTGTGTTCATTTGTTTCATCGAATTTTAAAAACATTAAAACTTGTTTCTTAACTATTTAACGTCCCTGTTTTGTTCAAAATATTCAGAAAGCATTGTCATTCACGTCTTCTTCTGCTATTTTATTTTTAATGTTTGTTTTCTGATTGATACTTCTACATATTTGTAAATTTAGAGAAACTAGTCTTTTTTATTGAGGATAAATATTCAATTCTTGTAAATAATATATATCATAAAATATATTTTGAATATATAATTATAATATTAAAATTCATAATTTATAATAAATAAATTACATTTTAAATTTATTACAATAAAAAGTTTACGATGAAAGTTTTTTAACCATTTGGTGTTTTATTTTAAAATAAATAAAAGTGAAAATTATATATTAAAAGAGATAAAAAATTAAAACTTGATTACTCAATATATAAAAATAAATAAAAGACATATTTTATTAGAGTGGCAATACTCATAAAATTAATATTAAATCCTTAAAAACATTTTTTTAATAAAAATGATAGTTATTCATTTTCTCATGTTTAATATAATTTTGGACCAAATTCAATTAGATTTAACTGAATTAATTTTAATTTTTAGGATAAAGTATCTTTTAGTTTCTATACTTTCATGTGTGTGAAATTGAAAATAATTCTTTTGTCATAATTCACATAAAAATGATTCCTATATTTTTGAAATGAGTAAAATAAGTCCATATTTTAAATGTCGTTAAGTATATGCTTGACACTGTCTATCGAAATTATATGACTTATTCATTATTTGACACGTGTAATTATTTAAAAAAATGAGTAAAATAAGTCTATATTTTAAATGTCGTTAAGTATATGCTTGACTTGTCTATCGTAAATTATATGACTTATTCATTATTTGACACGTGTAATTATTTAAAAAAATATAATTAAAATGTATCGAGCTTTTAAAAATCATTTAAATACGCATTTATAATATTTAGAAGTCATTTTAAAAAAATTAAACTTATCTATCATTTATAAGCCATTTAAAACAATGTACGAGAAAAATCCTAAATCATTTTAACAAAACATCCCAAATGCAAACCTTAATTTTACATTTAGTTTCACAAATGCAAAAACATACCTTAATTTTCGAAAATGAAAACCTTAGGTATAGTATATCACCGTCACATACCTGCATTGTGCATCCCTGTCAATTGAACCACAATGAACCAAAGGAACCCTCAAACTTCGAACTTCAAAGTCACTTTAACTTCATACAATCTTTACAGGAAAAATGGGAAAAAGAAAAGACATTTTGTGTGTGACGAAAAAAAGAAGAGATAATGAAAAGTAGCTAGAAAAGAAGAGATAAAGAAAAGTGATTGTGATGAAAACTTAAAAGTTTTGATTCGTGAGGAGAAAAGAAAATTTTTTAGTTTTTTTAGTTTTTTTTTTTAAATAATAATCTGTGTTGAATAATTTCAACTTTTTTTTAAGAAGAGCTTTGTTTTTTTTTTTAATAATTACATGTGTCAAATAATGAATGGATCATACTATCTCCATTAGACATGTCACCATATATTTAAAATAGAAATTTATTCTAATTATTTAAAAAATATAGAGATCATTTTTATGTGAACTATAACAAAGAAACTATTTCTAATTTCATGTTAAAAAACAGAAACTAAAAATATACTTAACTCTAATTTTTATTTAAAAATTTAATTAAATCCAACTTAATTCGTATACATATAACACAACGGCAAATATAAAGATAGAGAGACCAGAAACACGTACAAACAGTTGTATATAATAAACTAATAAACGTAAAAGATTGTTGTATAAAAAAAGGGAAAAAAAATTACCGCAAATGTTTACAGTATGATAGACCATCATTAAATAAATATTTTTTTATTGATAGAGAAAATAAAATAAAATAGATAAATAATATAAAAAATTTAAATAATTATTAAATAAATATTTTTATCTTTTTACAGTCTCAACATATCAATACTCGTAAAAAAAAACATAACAATATAAATTATTTAAGTTAAATTTCAATAACAAATACCATATAATATAATATTATATATATATATATATATATATATATGAATTCAAACTCTAAAAATATCTATTATTAACTCACATAATTATTTCATGTAAAATAAGAATTTATATTATTATATCATTTTTAACTAATTTATTATTAATTTTAGTCTATTAGAAATTTCTTTAATAAATATTAAAAAATCTATTATCTCTCGTATTTTCTCATTTTATTTATTTTAATTTACCTTTTTAAGTTAAACTATCAAAAAGTTTAAACAATTTATTATATCATATAAAAAAAAATTTAACGGAACATTGTTTTATGTAACTATTATTTTATTTAAGTATATCAATAAACAACTAATTAGAAATGCTCTTAATCTTAAATTTAACACTTAATTTCAAATTAATTTTTTTAATATTATAAGTTTTAAGATCATTACAAAAATATTTACCCATCAATAACCTTAACTTTGTTCTCAATAGTTAAATTTAAAGGTTAGTTACAGAAAACTTTTACTAAATACATTCAATTCAACAAATTTATATTAATGGTTTTATATACTCATCAAAATTAAAACTAAAATTGTTTGTAATTAGAAGTTAATGAAGTTTTTCCGTATTAATTTTATAAAACTACATGAAGTAAGTATCATAAACATAAATATAAATATGTAAATCTTAATCCGTAAATCGTAAATCCTTATTATCAACAGCACATGGATAGAAATACAATATCATCAATATTGAATTATTTTTTGAGCATATAATACGGTAAAAATTAACTTTCAAATCTTAATCTTAAACCTTAAATCCAATTTATTATTTATTATCAACCAGAATACATAAAATAAAAGTGACAATATTATTTTTATATAATTGTTCGAGCATATAATAAAGATAAAAATTAACTTTCATACATTCAAATATTCTTATTCATAAAAAATTGAATAAGTAATCATGTAAAATATGAGATAATAGATAAATATCTAAGAAAAAAATAAATATACATAATATATTTTCAATCTAATTATATTTTTACAATAAAGTTTAAATTTATGTATGATATATAATATATTATTAAAAATAATATATATTTAAAAATTAAATGATATTTTTGATAAAATATTGTATTATTATATTTTTTTTTCTAATTGCGCCATTTATAATTTTGTATGTATATATAATTATATATATTTTCGTTTTATAATATTATACTTGCATATCATTTATCTTTCAAATTTTTTCTATTTTTTATTATATAATTTTTATAAATAAGTTGTGAATTAAATATTATTTATTAATCTTTATCAATATTATTACTTTAATTTCAAGAGACTGATATATAGGTTGGATATCCAGTAACAAATATTTATTTCTATGAATTTTCAATGTATTTTTTTCTTTATATTTTTATCATTATTGTTATTATTAATTTGAGAATAAGTTTCTTAATAATGATATGATATAATAAGAATTATTAATTATATGTTTAAATTATTAATGTAAGTTGCTTCAATTTGATATGCTTTTCATTGACGATTTTAGAAAGAAAAAAAAAGATTAAAATTGATACAGTTTGGTTTGAGTTGAAAGAAAGGAGGATCAAAATATTTTGTCATGATAATTCAAAATATGAATATCTTGAAATATACAAATTTAAAAGTTTAATAACGAAAATATTGATTAGGTATCTTTAAGCTTCAAAAGATAAACGTAATAAGTTGGCTTGAATTGTAAGCGGATTAAACCAACCAATCAAAGTAAGATTATTTGGTAAATAAAATAAAATCTTTTTGCACAAGTCTATCTGTAAAACTTATAAAAAAAATTTGAATTATTTATTTGCATGGAAAGATGAATAGAGTAGTAGCGTGGAGTGGGGCAAAACAGTAATTCGGAGACAGAGAAAAAAGAAGAGGTTGAATTCCTATGACCTAAATACCCTCTTTTTGTGGATAGCCCCAAACCTGTATTTCCCTTCTCAGCCCTCAGAAGCGATGCCTCTGCTACCCCTCTAATTCCCAATCTTCCTCTCCTCTCCTTACCCTTCTCCTTCTATTTCCGATTTTCTCCACTTCCCCGCCAATTTTCATCAACCTCTTTTCAAATTTCTCTTCATTCTCCTTCAATTCACAAAACCCCTTCGATCCGCTCTTAACCCTCGTCCAACTGCCTCTGCCACCATTACCTGCCTTCCTTTTATGTTTTTTCCAGATCCTCAGGGCCATGGTTTCACACCCTTTTAAGGAAAGGTGAAAGCTTCCAGGTATTTTATCATTATTGAGAATTTCGTTATTATTAATTCTCATTAATATTGGGGAATTTCTCTGTTTTTGAGTCAATTCATTTGTGGGTAATGGATGTGATTGTGTGTTTTGACGAAAGTTTGTCTTTTTTTGGTTAGTTCAGTTACCTGTAATTCTGCTTCACACCACATTTTTTGCCTTTACTCCTCTAATGGGCTACTACAGTCCAGGTTAAGTTAATTGGAGTTCTAAGCTCATTGCATAGTTTGTTTTCTTAGAGAGTGTAAGTGGTTTTAGTGTTTTTTTTTTTCAGGAATTTACATGTTCTCTGCAATTAAAGGCGGTGATTTTCGTTCTGTGGCTTAGGAATTTAGCTCGTTGTAGTTTGAATTTGTTTCTGTATGGTTATCAATTAATGGAAGTGTGAATTGAATGTTTGTTGCGTGGATAGCTGGATATCCATTCTATTTCTGTGTAAGCATAGTTGATAGATTTGTGAATTTGTACTCCCAACTGTAGGCAAATGTAATTGTAAGTTTGTTCTGGATGAGTGTTTACAAATTTGACTGTGAAGTGGTATGATTAATGTCTGGATTATTTATTCAAAAAAATAAGTCAGTAGTTAAACTCAGTATTTTTTTTTTATCCAACACGAAAGCTATCTAAAGTTGTTTCAACATAAAATCAATTCACGAAATATGTGGGCATTTACCTGAAGTTGTGGTACCTGGTATTCCAATGTGTCTCTCGACGATTTAATGTGAATCCAAACACACTAAATCAATAGTTAATGTTTCATTATGTAATTTGTGATTTATGATGTGTGATAACACTTGATCTTGCTAAGGGTTTAGTTGATTCTAACCGTGAAACTGTATATTTACTATGTATTTGTGGTGCGGTATTCGAATAAAGGATAAAAAAGTAAAAACAAGAAGAAATGATTGATATGCTTTGTTAGCTGGACACTCGGGTGATTGTCTGTTATTTTCTTCCATTCTTTCTGGTGATGCATATCAGGACTTTGACCTTTGATGTGTTGGACAGAGGATTGACATGGTTTATCTGACTTGTCTTTTGTTATCCGTAGGATCTTACCACAGTGTATCTGCCATAAAGCCGTTTTTGTATATCAAGCTGAAAAGCAGTTCTTCTTGTTGTTGGCTTGTTGCTATATGTAGTGATTTTCATCTCGATGGCCAACCACGATTTGATACTTGGTCGAAGTCACAATTTAGCAATTGGTCATGACCAGCAATTGGTGCTGGGCCATAACCACAATTTGGGCCTCAGCCAGAACCATCCATTGGAACTGGGATCAGCCCATGAGCACCATTTAGATCTAGGACAAACCCATGATCATGAGCTGGGCTTGGGACATGCCCATGATCATGAATTGGGATTAGGGCAGAACCATGATCATGAAGGTGATGATGATCACACTTATGAGCATGAGCTAGCCATGGATCAGAAAACAGAGCATGATGATCACAACTTGCCTCTTCCTGGACAAAATCACGAGTTAGTCCTTTCAGAGAACAATGATTTGACTGTTTCAGAGAATCAAGAACTTGATGAGAGCATGGCCCTGGCTGTGGTTCAGAACCCAGAAATGGGAATTGATTCTGGAAATGATATGGATATTCAACAGTCACAACTTGTGCTTGCTTCCTCACCTCCAATAATTCAGGTTCGTACTGCAAGTCCTAGTTATGAATTGTCAGTGGGGCAAGAGTTCCCAGATGTCAAGAGTTGCCGAAGGGCATTGAGGGATACAGCAATTGCTCTGCACTTTGAAATGCAGACTATAAAATCTGACAAGACCCGTTTTACTGCTAAGTGTGCAAGTGAAGGATGTCCCTGGCGCATTCACGCAGCTAAGCTCCCAGGGGTTCCAACTTTTACTATTAGGACAATCCATGAAAGTCATTCATGTGGAGGAATTTCTCATCTCGGCCATCAGCAAGCTTCAGTTCAGTGGGTTGCTAATTCTGTGGAGCAGAGGCTGAAGGAGAACCCTAATTACAAGCCCAAGGAGATTTTGGAAGAGATTCACAGGGTTCATGGTATTACCTTATCGTACAAGCAAGCATGGAGAGGTAAGGAGCGGATCATGGCTGCAATGCGTGGATCTTTTGAAGAAGGCTACCGCTTGCTTCCACAATACTGTGAACAGGTGAAACGCACTAATCCAGGAAGTATTGCATCTGTTTATGGAAACCCAGCTGATTGTTGCTTTCAACGTCTCTTCATTTCCTTTCAAGCATCTATATATGGCTTTTTAAATGCTTGTCGGCCACTCTTGGGGCTTGACAGAACGTATTTAAAGAGTAAATATCTTGGAATATTGCTTCTCGCCACTGGATTTGATGGTGACGGGGCTCTGTTTCCTCTGGCATTTGGAGTCGTTGACGAGGAGAATGATGATAATTGGATGTGGTTTCTGTCTGAACTTCATAACCTGCTTGAGATTCACACTGAAAACATGCCAAGGCTTACTATTTTGTCTGATAGACAGAAGGGAATTGTGGACGGAGTGGAAGCAAATTTTCCCACCGCATTCCATGGATTTTGTATGCGCCACTTGAGTGATAGCTTCCGTAAGGAATTTAATAACACCATGCTTGTCAATCTTCTATGGGAAGCAGCTAATGCTCTTACGGTGATTGAATTTGAAGCAAAAATATTGGAGATTGAAGAGATATCACAAGATGCCGCATATTGGATTCGAAGAATTCCACCTCGGCTCTGGGCCACTGCTTATTTTGAGGGCCAAAGGTTTGGTCATTTGACAGCCAACATAGTTGAATCTTTAAACAGTTGGATATTGGAGGCATCTGGACTTCCAATAATTCAAATGATGGAATGTATTAGAAGGCAGCTAATGACTTGGTTTAATGAGCGCCGGGAGACCAGTATGCAGTGGACATCAATACTCGTACCATCTGCAGAGAGACGTGTAGCAGAAGCTCTTGATCGTGCGCGGACATATCAGGTTCTTCGCGCCAATGATGCCGAATTTGAAGTAATATCTCATGAAGGAACAAACATAGTCGATATCAGGAACCGTTGCTGTCTTTGCCGAGGGTGGCAGCTCTATGGTTTGCCCTGTGCACATGCTGTGGCAGCGCTTCTCTCGTGCAGGCAGAATGTGCATAGATTCACAGAAAGCTGTTTCACTGTAGCAACTTATCGCAAGACATACTCACAAACCATACATCCAATCCCTGATAAATCGTTGTGGAAGGAGTTGTCTGATGGGGATGCCAATGCTATCAAAGGTACAGAAATAGTTATCCATCCACCTAAGTCACTGAGGCCACCTGGGAGACCAAGAAAGAAGAGAGTTCGTGCAGAAGACCGTGGACGTGTTAAGCGAGTGGTGCATTGTAGTCGTTGCAATCAAACAGGACACTTTAGAACCACATGTGCAGCTCCCATTTAAGTTGCTAAATAAATAAGTGTCTTCATTATTTATTCAGGCTTCATATCTTAGACTGCCCAGTAGATGTGTTAACTTCTGTTATTTAGTTGACATTAATGTGAATTAATTCGTAGCAGTAGCAGTAGCAGTAGCAGATGCTCTATGTGTGTATATCATCCTCCAATAATTCACATCCTTCAACAACGCTTATTGTTGTTTCTTATATGTATTATTCAATATTATTTTTATTTAGTTCAAATTTTACATTAAATTAAATCAAACTACATTTTATTTTTATGTTTAATACATATTATTATTAAATAAATAATCAAACCAAAGTAAACAGTACACTCCTAAATTTGTCTACGCCAAATTAACCTTTTAACGCTATGCTTAAGCTATATATCAAAAGCCATATTGATAGCATAAGCTACTTTTAAGAGAATAAGTTGATAAGAACCAACAGGCAACAATTACCCATATTGTCTGTTACACGATTTCATACATTTTTATTTTGGTAAAAGTTATTCGAAAGACACTTTTTCTAGAAATGATTTATTTTTAGTGAAACGGGTATTTTTACATTTCAAGTGAAAATATCATTTTTTAACATAATAAGATCTATGTAAGGGTTTATCTTCTTAATAAATATGTTTTCACATTAATAAACCGAAAACAAATTCTCCACCGGTAAACAATGACGTGCGAATTATTTCAAACAATAGTGGTATTGATATTTATTAGCTTTTCAGATAGATGCACTAAAAGATCTTGTGCTTCCCTATCAGATAAAATGCATCGATATGATAAAAGCTTCCAATATCATTTTTCCTGATTGTTTTGTGGACGATTTTTTGTGTTATTTTATTTGAAAGGACAAAAAGAAATAGCATGGTGTCCCCTTCGTTGAGAATTCGCCTTCACTTAACGTAATATAAAATGGAAACTTGCCTTGTTCTACATTCATTGCCTTTTACCTGTCACAAGTTCATTAGCTAAAAGATGCTGATGGGGGGTTTGTACCATTAAGGTTCACCACAAAAGAAATTTGTTGTCGTTGGAAAAAAAAAAAAAAAAAGTCTATTAATTACAACCTCTGATTGGATAACATTTTTTAAGTAGAACATTTGGCAAATTTGTTTATTATCGTTAGAAGCGAGTAGAACAAATTTGTTAATCAACATGAAAAAAAAAAAAAAAAAATCGCAGATGAAGTGGAAAATCTCTATAACGACAGGTGACAACAGCACCTCAGAATCAAAGCAGATTCCATGAACTGAAAATGATAATCAGAGCTCAAGAGTCACAAGTAAGGTACTCTCCATCACCATTGTATATGTGCAGTGAAGAAATACAATCTAAATTGATAACCAAAATATGTGCTCTACAACTTTGACCACACATTGCTGCCTTATCATTGTAATTTTACGACCCTTTTCTACTCCCCTATTTACGTCTATGAATGCAAGAAGTACAAAAGACTCAGAATGTTAACTACAATAGTTTCACATTAACGGGACTGTCTTATATTTGTCACTTTTTGTCATCAGCAGCAGCTGCTGCTGCTGATTCGGTTGTGGTAGGAGGAGTCATCAGATGGTCAAACTTCTCAGATTTCCCCAGCACAATTTCAATCTAAAACATAAAGAATAAGAGATAAAGCACCCTACAGAGGGAACAACCCTTGCATAAAACCAAAATGTAAAACTCATTGGGAAATTCACCTTCGCCTTCTGCACCAGACGGCCTTTGTTCTCATCTTTCATGCCAACTGTAGATGTCAGTACTCCTGTTCCATCACAAGATCCATATTGATTAGAGTAGCTACAACTATCATACAAATGTGAGAATTAGAAATATGAAAGTAACCTTACTCTTCTCAGTGGCAAGTCCATTGTTCTTCAAAATCTCAGCAATTGTGACAACGGTAGCTATTGCTGCACATGCACATGTCAACATTTTCGCAGAATATTATATCAGTTGGACAGAGCGCGTGCAACCAAAAAAATAAAATCACGTAGATTCTTGGACGTTACACCAGCCAAATGCCATGGTGATTTTGAGGCTTAGGAACAATTACAGCCAGATGAGACGGTCAAAATATAACTCCGGACGCATAAACAAAAGAAACAAAGCACAAAACAATCCTCCTTTCTTTTAAAAGAAGGATCTTTATCTTTAATTTGGGGTTTATAGAAAAAGAAATGAAATGTGAGTTTGAGAAAAGAGGTATACCCATTCCAAGAGCAGAAAGCTCGACCTCATTGTGCTGCTGTATGTACCTCTGCATGGAAGAAGGAATTGAGGAAGGCATTGATGAAAACGAAAGAGAGTTGAAGAATGAAGAAGAGAGATACCTTGGCGAGATTGACGTAAAAGAAAAGAGGTTTCTTGGTGTTGGAAACCTGAATTCGGTTCTTCTTGGGGGGCTCTTCTGCAGGGGCAGCAGCAGCTAAGGTCGCCATTGTAACTTGTAAATTGTAATTCCCTGTAACTGTAAAACGGTAAAGTAGCGGAATGACTATGACCCTCTCTTATATAGCTCCACCATAGGACACGTGGACTCAGTCAGATTCAAGTATAAAATTAGTTTCTTCCCCAAATCTCCATGGTCCTTATTTTTTTACTTTCCCCAAAATGCCCCTCTCCCCGTTGACCGATTCTTCTGCTCTTTTTACACTGAATTTTTAATTTAATTTAAATGTGTCATGTTTTTAATGATCACAGCATGCTTAAATTAAAAAACCATAACTTTTTTTATAAATAATTAATAAAATGAATCTAAATTCATTTGAGTGAATGTGCCATCTTTTTCATAATCATAGGCACACGTGCATTAATTTCACTCGTAATATTCAAAGCCTATTCTAATATATATTGTGACAACTCTGGTTGTATACCCACGTGGGTGGTGCTGCCACGTTGATTCGGTGGTCCAGACTAACAAAATATTTGGTAGCATTTTCATCACAATATTTTTTACCCACTTAAATAATATTTACTTTAGGTTAGTCTTTATGAAAAAAAAAAAATCAAATCACATGAAGATAATTTTTTTACCCACTTAAATAATATTACAACAAAATAAATGTAAAATAATAATAATAATAATAAGTACATGTATAGTTATATTTTCATTTGAAATAAATATATACTTTTGACACTTATATATCATAATTATTTTTTAATTTAGTTATTATGTTTTACCATATATGGCCCTGTCAATGTTACGTATACGATACATAAAAAAATCACACAAAAAAAACGTAATTGGTTTGTTTTAGTTTGATTATATTATTATCTCTTATAATATGTTCTGTTCTTAACTATTTATTTTAATAATATATAACAAAAAATAGATAATGAGAAAATAAATACACTTAAGATGTTAAACACTATAATCACTATATATACAGTCTCTTTATAAAATCATGTGATCAATTAATTAGAAGTATTCATATTATTTAATATTATTAAATTAAAAATATTTTATATTTAGATCTCAACATCGTTTCCAACTATTATAATTCCGAGTAATTTACAAATTTTAATTATTTATTTTATCAAATAAAAACATTAAATAAATTTAAATTTTTAATCTGTAAAATTATATAAAAAATAGGGAAATAAAAAGAATTTATTTTATAAAAATATCTTTATTTATAAATGATATAATATTTCAAAAATATTATATCAAATATGTATATGATTCTTCTAATTTTATTTCCTATAAAAAAAATAGGTATTTTTTTCTATTACACGTGATGATGTAAAATAAAATTGTTATATATATAATCGATAATACGAGATTTTCCAACTAATGTCATTATATATTTTCTATCACTACCACACAACAAAATTTTACATTAAAAATTGGGATTTAACAATACCTAACCTAATTTAACCATATTAAAATATAAAAAGAAAAAAATTTAATAGGGAGAGGAAGTGAGGGTAGAGGGGAGATTAATAAATGAGAAGAGTGGAAAGGAAAAGCAGGGATAGATATAGATAGAGAGGGGAGGGTCTAATAAGTTGTACAATGAATATGGGACCAATTAATTGAATTTTTGGAATGCTGAGTTCCGTGGAAGCAAATAAAATGAGCCCACACGCTCTTTTTGGACTTCTGCTCCATCCTTTTCTAAATCATCGACCACATACCATAATTAAACACAACAAACAACGTACCAAAGTCAAATCAAAATTTGGTCTTGATTTGATTGTACGAGACCATTTGTCTCTCCCATAGATGGGATACCTTAATCAATCATGCCTAACTACATACCCAATCCATTAATCATCATTTCCACTTAATCTTTTCTATCATATATTATTCCCAACATTTCATATTTCTTACGATTGTATATATTGTTGTTCGGGTGAAATTTTTCATATCATTTTCCACATTTGCATAATCCTTAATTGGTTTAGCTTTCATGTCTCGTCCTCATCATTTTCTAATTTATATACAAATATGCGTGTTTGGGGACATCAAGTGTATAGAACATGTATCCTACGTATAATAGCAAAAGATTATTTCGAGATTTAAAAACGTGTTATGACCACGATTGATGATCCTCCAAAATAATGCATATTATTATACAACATTTTTGTTTTTTTGTTTGCAACTTGAAGGTCAACCACAGCATAAAGGCAATATCTACATAAACTTGAACCTTTTTATGTGTAAAAAAAGACTTTCTAACTATATACATAATATAAGATGGTTTAATTGAAATGTTTATTCTATAACAAAAACATTGTCTAATCTGAAACTAGCATTTGGTGAAGGGTTAAGATTCTGCTCTAGCCTTCCAAGATCTTAAGGCATACGAAATTGATTGAAAATAACATTAACATGTGTTGGGTGACACCTATATGTCATTAATTATTAAAATATACACTATTAAAAGCTACGCGTTCCATATGTAATTAATGAATAATGATGCGTTAGTCTGCACTTAATTATACTCAAAATAGAAAAACCAAAGTGTCGGTTGCTTAAGAATTTCATTTCCAAAGCAAGTTCTTGTTGGTATTCTATGTATTAATATGTAGTAATGCACTGAATGTTAATTAAGATGCAGGTTGAAAAAATAAAGGTGTATTTTAGGTCCCAAATCCTCTTACGAACGAAGGGTTAACGTTTTTCGGTTTGTGGTCATCTCGAAAGGAGAAAAAAGAAATGGTATATTCATAAGTGAGGGCCAAAAGTAGGATTCACGATTAAAAATAGAGATAAAATTTGGTCAATTCTTGTAAACTTGTTCATAATACACAATAATACTCCTTGCTTTATAAAATTAATATATGTTGAAGAATAATTTTCATACAGAATTTAATAATTGAATGCGACAGTATGAAGCATTAAAATACTGAGTAAGATATGCAAGGAAATGCAAAAGTAACAAGACAAAGCATCTTTTTTCAGTGTTTCTTTTCCTCGTCGGTGCAAAACCAAAGAATAAGCAGCACGATAAAGCAAAATCTTGGGAAATCATTGTATAGTAATAGTAGCATACTTTATGTTCAAAGGTCAAAGGTTCTACATTGTTCCAGTGTTGGGAACTAAGAAGAGGAATGGATTCCCTAAACTGATAGACAATAAAACACAAGTCTCCATAAATGGTGTTCACAAACGACTACAATATGTAGAGATGACAGAAACGTGCTATAAGACAATACCACATCATAGATCAATAGAGAATGTCTAGAGACAAGTGACTGCAAAGAGTGTCTCATTGCCTCTTGTTACAGCCATTTCTGGCATAAAGTTACTCAGTCTTCACCAGTAATTTTGACCCCTCTTGTTCAAAGATAATATACATTCACAACTAGATAAAATACACAAAGATGTAAGCAGAAAGTTGATATTGGTTTCAGATTGCAAGGTATGCAACAATGTCTGATGTAGGCATCAAGTAAAAGCTCTCAGAATATAGGTAAAGAATAATTTGGCCAATTAATTTAAGCCAGTACAAGACATTGTCTGTGATTAATAATATTTTCTACCAACATATGCTATTATTAAGCAAACAATAAATATTTGAGATTCCTCTCGTATCATACTCCACTGCCAATAAAGAACCTCCTTCTTTAAGGCTGTTCTATCTACCTACAAGTGTTGCAGTACTTTGTTTAGTTACTGATTAATATGATCAATAAATTGATAATGAAGTTATCACTATTTTTCAATAGGGGAATTTGAAATGGAAGAGTTTCAGATAGATATAGTTACCTCCTTTCCACCTTCAAATTCAAAAGGAGAATGGCGCTTTAGAAGATGAGCAAAACGAGAAAAAAGAGAAAAGGTGTCCTTGCTAATGTGCCACGACTGTATAAGAAGGTTTGGGAACATGTCATAATGAATAACCGATCCCATTTCAAAAATGAACATAGCTAGCTTGCAACATAAACTTCTTAGTAGGCATAACAGTATTGTAGACTGATAGTGTATTAGAATAAAAGACTCTTGACAAGTAACAGTCACTATACAAAATAAAATGCTACTAACTTCTGTTTACATGAATTTGGTAAACATCTTTCAGCGTTTAATCATCCGGAAGAAAACAAAAATGGTAGTATTTATCATTGATTGATTACATACCTACCTAACGATAAAAAATACACTTTCAAGATGTTACCTTTTATCTTAAGAAAGAAGCTTGGGGTTTGTGACGAGAACAAGCGGACTCATAATCAACCATAAAACATACCTGCATATAATGGAATGAAGGTTAAACGTGTATTTTTCTATCGAAAACAGAACTTTCATAATTTGTGTCACAATTCTATACATGGCTTCTAAGTCTGGTACATACACATCTTTCAGCTGATATCACTTGAATGAGACCATGTTAATGACATGGAATCTTGAGTTTAGTGGCAGGGTTTTATCTTGAGCATGATGATTGTAAGTGGGCAGTATGTGTCACACAAATTATGAAGCCTCAACCTTGCCCACACCCAGAGAAACATAAGAAAAGATTTATGTCCGTAATAATAATATTCACGAGTTAGAAATGAAAGTTACATTTAATCTGTCACGTGATTTTACAACAGGAGTGAATTGAGTGAACATGGTTGTAGCGGTTGGGGTGATGAATATGCATCATTCTTACTCACTTACTGGTAGTAGCTATTGGATGACAGACCTAACCTTTATGTCTGGTCAAATGGCAGGCACGGTTATTAACAAAAGATAGGGAATAGAAATTTGGAAAGAGACAAGAGGGAAGAAGAAGAACAAACCAAACAACCCCACCAAAGAGGGGAAAAGTAATAAGAGGGATTTTTCTGGTGTTACAGTGCCCACAAGCTACCAATTTTTATCCCTTCCTAATTCTACTTATCGAAAACAGACTGAGATATTGTTGCTTAAACCTGTCTATGATTATGATGACTTTTAATCATCACGGTTGTACTATCAAATTGTCGCTTTACTTTCAAGAAAGAGGTAGAATACCCAAATAAAAATGCTTCCTTTAGTACAGAGAAAAAAAAAAACTAATAAAGTAAAAGATAAAAGAATTGGGTGATTTAATTATAAGTATATCTAATAAATATGATTCACGCTATTAGTAATAAATTACATCAAATTAATTTTGATGTTCGTTTTGGGGCAAAGGTAAAACTTAACATAAGAAGAAAGGCAGAAGAATTAATCAACATACCCGAATAGGATATTTATTCAGGTTTCTTAACAAGGTTAGATTATCATCAAAATTATGTAGAGTAACTTCACACTTTAATGAATGATATACGTATAAAACTGAATTGAAGTTGATGTGAATGAAATGCTTAATTCAAACAATTCTTTCGTATATTAGAGTGTAACATGTTAGTTTAGAAGGAATAAATACTTTATCATTAAAATTTATTTTAGTTTAATTGAGTGGTAAAGATATGAGTAATTAGGTATTTGTAGGGAAGTAAAAAATGAGGAAAGGATAGTGTATTATTTATGTGGAGATATTGGTCTACTAGTCTATAATTGTTTGGCTATATTTAGGCATATCTATAAGACCAAAGCATATACCTTATCTGTTGGATGACTCGGATCATTGGTCTTCCTTTTACTCTACATTTTCATTTCCATTTCACTTTAACCTCACTCTCGTTTAACGCCGTCAATTCCTCGGTTCCGACAACCAACGGAGAAAAGTGCCACGGTGAAAAATCGCCGTTAAAAACCAGAAAAGACCATCTATAAATAACCTTAAACCAACAAAGGAACATAAACACAAACAGGAGAGTGAGAATAAAAAAGAGAAAGGAGGTTTTTCATAAAGCAAAAGAATATTATTGAAACATAAATTTTGGACTTTCTTTGCGTTTGGCACCCACCCACAACGAAATAAAACAAAACAAGCACACAACCAGAGACACATACACACGCAGAGAGAGAAAAGAAGGAAGAAAGAGGGAGAAGAAGAAGAAGAAGAAAGAGATCTTGTGAGATCAGGTCACAACTGTAAGCTACATTTCTCTCATTCTTTGCTGACTTTGTTCCCATTTTCTGTTTGGTTTCCTTTTTCTTTACAATGTGGGTGTCGATCTCTGTTGCACCTAACTCTCTGCTTCGCGCTACTGTGGAGAGATTTATCTGCCATTTCCACTCTCCTCTGCTTCTTTCTGTGATTTGTGATATGGGTTTTTCCTTTCTTTGATCTTTCTTCTGATTCGTTGATTTTGGTAGTCGCCACTGCTAGCTATCTCCTGAGAACCTCATCTTCTTTCACCGCCTACTGTGAGCCTTTTCCTTTTCAAAATGGGGATACGAATACTGGGTCAAAAATGGAATTCGATTCCCTTTCTACTTTTCTATGTTTTCACTTATTTTTTTCAACTTTCGTTATTTTTTAGGTTGATCCCTTCATTTTCTGGGTTTGTGTAGTTTCTTTTCTCTTAAAAAAGCCTTAATTTTCAGGTATCTCTTCTGACTCATCAAACATGTCAGTGGTGAATTTATTTGTTCGAATTAATCCTTTTGCGTCTCCGTTTCTGTTCTTCCAACCAAAGGGAAACGTGTTTTAATTTTTCAGTCCCTTGATTTACACTACAATGTAAATATATGTTTTTAGTTTTTACCTTTCATCCAAAGATCATGATGGAGTAGCTTTTTAATTTTCATCTTTGGCTCCTTTCATGAAATTTTAGTGGCTACTTCTGAAAAATTACGCAGGGAATCACAACTTGAAATATTTACTCTTGGCGTTTTCTCTAGTTCCACGTCAAAGCGCGTTGAAGATGAGAAGTTTTTTCTTTTCTAGAAAAATGGGAATAATTAGCTCAGAATTTTAAGGTTATAGGGCGGTTGATAAAATTTTCAAAATTACTAACTATAATGAATCTATTCATATGAACAACATCTTCGTATTGAAGGTTCTAATCTGGATCTGTTTATAACCCATTCAGAAGAAGTAGCTTCTGTTTACCCTTTTTTAATCTCTGTAAGGATATTTAACTAATCCCTTCATCTTTTACCTTCATTTACAGGACAGTGTACTAAACTTACCTTAAACATATCAAGTAATTTTTTGTTTGGTTTCTGCCACGGCGTAACTACTGTTTTAATTGTGTAGTATTTCTTGAATTTTTAGTGCTGATAGATGATGACACCTATTCCTTTACAAATAGAACACTTCTACCTTAATCTTGTCAGAGTTTTGTGTTACCTCACCCTGTAAATTATATCTTGCAGCATCATGGGGAGAGAAGTTACAGGTATGCAAGTTGTGGACAAGAAGCCAAATGGTGTATTACCAGCTTCACATGGTAGTTCTAATGATAAAGTATGCATTTCTCCTAAAATGGCATCAGCTAAGGCTCAGGCCATGGACCATGAGGTAAAGGAATGTATCAAAGATAATTCTTTTGTGGAGAAAAGCCATGAGAAGAAGGATGTTTTGAGTGCCAAAACAACAAACTGTAATACTGACTTGCCTGAGGAGGAGATTGAGAATTCTGAAGTGCTCTTAATGGGCGACAGTGATAAGTTACTCTCTCCTGCTGGAAAAGAGCATACTAGTCACTTTGTTACACATTCTACTGATCTTGTTACTGAAAAGCATGAATACCACTCACAGATTGTTGATACAGAAGCTGATGCAACTGGTCTGAACCTGTCACCAAACACTAACAACATGCACTCACCTATCTCATCAAAGAATTCACAGGTAATTGATGGTCCTGCTTGTTGTGATGCCATCACATGTTAATGTTGAAGCATGAACCACTTCAATCATACGTACCCATTTAACTTAGCCACGGATGTCCAATAAACCTGGCGAGTTATGCATATATGTTATTAATAGGTTTTTTCCAGATTTACTTGAGTACTGAGAAGGTTAAGTAGTTATAGATTTACAGAACTAGAATCTCCATTTTTGTTTTTAAGGCATACTTATTAGTGAGAGATCTGTTTCATTACACAGGATTAGTCTCTCAACCTTATGTGATTAAAAATTTGAGGCATGCAAGGGTATTGGATCAATTTTAAATCTGTTAAACTTGGGAAGCTAAAAATACCATGACAAAAAAATATATGAATGATTTATTTTGTAAGCATTGCTAAATTGTTAAGGTTTTTTGTTTGCTGGGATGCTTTGCAGTTTCCTGTGTGTATTTGTTTGTTGTTATGTTTGAGATTACTGACAAAAAATATCCATTTTTTCAGCCAAACTCACCTTTTTCATCAAGCAAGCCTTTGCAACATGACAAGAAAAACTATGATGATGAAGATAATTGGTCTATCGCTTCCTCGTATCCTCTAAACTTGGACATTTTGATGGTTTAATGTTAACAGAGAAAGTTTTACCTACAGTAGAAGAATCTTTTGGCATAGTTACACCCCATACTTCCAAAGTCTAAAACATTTATAACATCTATGAATTTCAATGAGATTTTTTTTTAAACCATGCAAATAATACGGCTAATGTTCCTTAACCAAAAATATTAGTGCTATGTCTATGCGCACAGCCAGATCTAAGGTAACTCTCGGTTCAGCCCCTACATTTAGATGCTCCGAACGTGCCGAGAAACGGAGGGAGGTATTGATTCACTGACAAGTTGACTCTTTTATATACTTAAGAACAGAGGATTGTTCCATGTTGACGTTATTATTTTATGTATCCAGTTTTATCTGAAGTTGGAGGAGAAACATCGAGCTCTTCGAGAAGAAAAAAACCAGTATGAGGCAAGGCTAAAGGTACTGTCTTTATCTTGTTGTTGCATGACACAACGTGTTATTTTAAAATTCTTATCTTTCTGTCTCCTCTTCGCGCTAGAAACATCTCACTCATCCCTTTCACCAAAGCCTGGGTTACTTGTTTTATGTTTATCCTTCCATGTGACCTTTTGCGCATTGAATTGATAAAATAACTTTGTTCATTGTTTATTTAATAATTAATATGATAGGAAGAGCAAGAAGCAGCCATCAAGCAGATGAGAAAGAACTTGGTAATCAAAGCAAATCCAGTACCAAGTTTCTACTATGAAGGGCCTCCCCCCAAGACTGAATTAAAGAAGGTACTTTGGCCTTACCATTGAGAATTTTTTAATTAAAGGGATGCATAACATCAATTTAGAACCTTTTGTTGGAAAAATGATTGAATTGGGTTTGGTTTGGTGAGTGACAGCTGCCACTGACTCGACCGAAATCACCAAAACTAAGTCGGAGAAGGAGCTTTGGCGATGCTGTGAACTCATCTCCTGAAGTTTGCAGTAGAGCGCGTCACAGCACGGGAGGTGGAGGTCATATCAAGGGTGGTTCCAATGCCCCTTTCCCTCACAAAAACAACATTAGACGCAACAGCAACGGCAACGGCAACGGAAACGGAAACGGCGTTTGCAAACACAAAGAACGATCCAAACTGGAGAAGGAAACAAAAACGGCTCCTCCGAAGATCACCGGCCACGCAAATGCAGACATTTCAGTTCAATCATGACCGCTGAGACCAACCAGGCTTCATCATTTTCTTTTCACCCGGACTGACTCTTGTGACTTGCGGTGTATATGTTTTGTAACTTTATTGCTACACCTTGTTCTGTCTTCTTCTTATATAATGATGAGAGTTATTGATGTAATCTGTTTTGTTTTGTACCAATGTATGATGTTTCCCCAGAGACTAGTCCCGGCGTTTTAAATATAATTAGTTTTTTCAAGGACTAGCATAAGGGTGGGTGGGTGACTGAGTGTTATACGGTTTCATCAATTCTGCTAAATGGATGTGTATTGCACTTCGTTTTCCCAATTGGGTTTTGCCATTTCACAATTTGTTTTGTTTTCTTCTTGTAATGCTCGTACTTTTTAACAGAGACTACAGTTAGAATACGTGTTTGAATTTGTACAAGTATTACTATTCAAATATATTATTACACGAGAGAGAGGATCATTAAAAGAATGAAGATGATTTAATGTAATTACATTTAAATTAATATAGGATGTTGTCTATTTTATAGAATTAAGGTTTGTTATTAGAAAATGTTTATAAATATATAAAATAACGGATAAAATAAAGATGATTCTAGTCATTTATTAACTTTATTATAAATAAATTAAAAAGATGTACAGGATGATAGAAAAGTAGTTGAAGTAAATCAGATAATAAACTAAAAATAATTTGATGGAGAACTTTTTTTCATTCACTAACTCAAAAATAACATCAAAAGCTTTTTTCTGAAGATAAAGGTGTTTAGAATTTTTCAGACTGTATACTTCCTACATTATATCGTAGCATAGCAATTTATATGAAAAAAAAAATAATATAAAATCAATATTGAAGATGTCATTGGTTGAAATTTAATAAATATATTAAAAATATTTATCAAAATTTATATTGTATGATATGTATTGTTATATATATATATACACACACACACACACATTAAGTTGATGTTTTCCTAAAATACAAATTATTTGATTTATTAAAACTACAATCCATGTCAATTGACCCAAGCCAGAAACCACTGCATCTCCCTCACCTTTCAACAGATTAATTATCTAACTTTTGTTTCTCTGCCACAAAAAATCCTAAATGATAAAAAACTAAAAGAACTAATGCAAATTGCTAATAACGTTGTAATCTTTAAAACTTTTTTTAGCTTCATCCTAAACACCAATTCATGATGGTCTACAGAACTGAAAAATAAATGCAAATTTACAAGGAGGGATAATGGACTCATTACTCACTTATTGAACTACTACAAGCTATGATTGAAACAATGAGGAATATAAGAACTGTAATCCAAAGAAGAATACAAGAGTGAATAATCATGAACTGTATTCAATGCAAACAAGAACAGTTGTTAACAAAGGAATTTACATCAAATACTCTTCTCCTAACAATATATCCACCTATACTAGGATTCAACCTGAAATACATAACACTATAACCTCAAAACAAAACCCACCCCACTTCCTCACTTCTTAGCCTTCTTCACTGGCGATTTCACACTCTTGGGTTTCTTAACAACAGTCTTAGGCTTCTTCACGGGAGTCTTCTTGGCAGGTTTGGCAACAACCTTCTTAGCAGCTGGCTTGGCAGGCTTAGCCATGGGCTTAGCAGTTGCTGGGACAGACTTAGCCTTGGGAGCCACAGCCTTCTTCTTAGGAGCAGGCTTAGGCTTGGGCTTGGTAGCAGCCTTGGCAGCAGGCTTGGCGACAGCCTTGGGCTTTTTAGGAGCAGCAGTAGCGGCTTTAACCGGGGCAGGTTTAGTGGGTGCAAGCTTGAAGGAGTTTTTAACCTTCACAAGCTTGCCAGCAGCAACAGATTTCTTGAGATGAAGGAGGACAAGTTTCTTGTAGGTTGGAGGCAATTCTTTGTGTTTTCCTTCTATAAATTTGGTTATCGCATATTGGCTGGAACCAGTTCTCTCCTTCAGACTCGCAATAGCCTCAGTAATCATCTTCAACAAACACGATAAAAAACAAATAAATACACGAAATAAAATAAATCAAGAGTAAAAGATTAATCATATTGAAAGAGTTATTGGCAAGTACCACGGCAAAGGGAGGGTGAGAGAGGGGCTTCTTGGTGGCCGCCGTCTTCTTAGCCTTGGGTTGCGCCGGGGCCATGGCTGAATTGAAGCTAGAGGAACTGAGATGAATATGGATCGTCAGAAAGAAAGTAGAGACAACTAGACGTACAAAAAGAAGAATGTGGATGAGGAAAATTGGGTGGAGAAGATTTATATAGAAAAGGCAGAGAGGAAAATCGTGAGCTCTCATTGGTAGAAATCATGGTCACACGGATCGACAACGTTTTGTCATGTTTAAATCTGAACCTTTGGATTAATTCTTATCTACGGTCCCTATTCTAAGTCAGCGGAGGCACATGGATTTATCGCGCTAGCTAGTTAACTCTCCTCTGTCTTGTTTGGTATTGCTTTTCCTTTTTAGGGTTGGTGTGTTTTTCTCTGATTTTCGTAGTTAAATAACATGAGATTTTTTACATTGATTTTAACAACACTTTTGGTTTTCTCCTACCCTTGCATCTTAGCTTTTCAACTATTACCTATTTACCCTATTTGCTTTAACAAATTGGGAAAAATCTTCCCTACAACATCTCTTGCACCATACATTTGGTTTTATGTGAGAATGACTTGTATCTCCTAATTCAAATCTTTAATTGAAATCAATATGATTTTTTATTTTTTTTTGCAAACAGTCTAATTATGCACTTATACACATTCTTAAGATTGGTTTTGTGAATTCCCTATCAAACTTTTGGATTTTGTTTACCACATCACCTTAGCTTTCCCATATGATTGGTGCCATGACTTGCTATTTGCTCTTTGTAGCTCTTTCACCCACTTTAAATTAAATTAAAAATATGTTTTAATCAAACATTGAAACCTTGAAATTGTATTGCATTCTTGGCTATGATTTAAACTAATCAAAATGTATTTACATTCTATACAATTAAAACATAATAAATCATCTCATATAGATCTAGAATAAATTCTTTTATAAAACAAAATAGCATGTAGTTTGACATTCCTTTATAATGTATATATTCTGTCTTCTTATTGTTATTAAATATACACTACAGCATTATTATTTTTATCATGGTTCTAAAAGGGTTCCTTATACAACTGAAAACTACAGTTAAATTTGTAATAAAATGTTATGTGTTTACAAGATTGTTTAAATAATTAATAGTAAGTAAGAATGAAAATGTCTCTTTAATTTAAAAAATATTACAGTCTTATAACTGTCATTCAAACATGCTTAGCATATGAAAACTAACATTAATTACTTCAATAAAATGCATTATTACAAATATATTATCACAAAAATTTCTTCACAATAAATAAAAATTAAAAAAATTAAACATATTTTAAATTGATTTGTCCCAATCATTAAAATTTCATAATAATTAAATTTGGAAGATTATAATGTAACATAAGATGATATTTTTTATTTATTTATTTTCAATGTAATGTAAGATTTCCGTTGTCACGAGAAAAATCAAATGTTAAACTTAACTGATTGTAATATCCTTTAATTTTTAGTTTTAATAAACAAATATTTAATTAGATATAATAGCAAAACAATTTTTATTCTTTAAAACAATCCAAAAATTATATAATATTTTTCTCTAATTTACCTCCCTTTTATATCAAACATCTTATTCCTTCCTTTTCATTAGCAGTTTCTCTTTCTCTTATCTTTACTTATTATTTTCTCTGATAAATTATCTTATTTTTATAAAATTTAAATATTAGATATTATTCTTACTAGGTTGATGCAGGTCGCAAATATTAGATTAAATTAGATTTTGAAATTTGAAAAGAATAAATATTCATTTGAAAGATTTATCTTAATGTTAAAATAAACTTTTAAACAAAAGAAACGAGAAATAAGATGAGATTTACTCTGGTTAGATTTTTTTATATATGTCTCGACAGATAATAATAACCAAAAATATAATAACTAATATAAAATATTATACAAAATAATAACATATCAAAGATAATTAATATGATAACTAATAAGATAATTAATATAAAAAATAATAATAACAATAACAAATATAATAACTAATATAATAAGAAAAAGTATCTTCTTCATCAAGTAAAATCCTCAATATCTTAAATAACAAATTCTTCAAACTGTCATGGACAAATTACTAACTTGAGTGCACATGTAGTAGAGGGTGAATTCTTGCATTAAAGGTACAATTTTAGTATTTAGAAATATTACCTGGAGTGTGGTTGAGCATTCAATTAGGTATTGTTTGTGCTTTTGATATTTTGATGAAGCAGATAATTTGCTCTGCCTATAAATACAAGTTCTTCTTACATTTATAATCACACTCATTTTGCTTTATTATTATTATTATTGTCTGATACTTTAGCATCTAGAGTGCACTTAATGTATTTCCTATTATTGCAAAATCTAGCTCTAGTTTCAAACTATAGTTAGGATCAATTATTTTGGCATGTCTGTATAGAACGTTGGATCATTGTGCTGACTACCATTAGGAGAATACTGGAGGATGCATATTATTACTTCAAGTTTGGGCATGAGACCATGTTAAATGCATCTGACTTAAGGTAGAAGATTTAACCAATGAGGAGATTGCTACATGATATAGTTTCCCATTGACTAAAAGGTATTTATATTTTTTTATTTCTTTTCTTTCTTTCATATTACTTCATTTAATAATAGTATATTTTTTTGTATGCAATAAGTGGCCACAACAAGATCAAAGGTCCAATGTGATTACGTATGTTGTATATGCATTACGTTTAATATTTGATCAATTAAAACCAAAATATGTATTTCATTTATTACAACTTTCAATATGTATTTTTTAAAAGATAATAATTTTAATTTCACAAGTTTTATAAAATAATACAGCTTTTGTGGACTCTTCATTGTCAAACTAGGTTACAACAACTAATAAATGTTGATATTTCTTCTGTCAGTCGTACTATAAATCCAATGATAAGTTTTGTTACTGTTGAGCCTCATCCAACAAATCGGGTTATGAGGCAATTTGGCCTTCGCCAACCAATTCCAAAAAACTCAATCAATCTTGACAAACTTCACAGGGAAAACATGAGAGGTAGAATTGATAGATTTTAACTTCAATACCATGAAATTTGGATTATTATGTGAAATGACCGTCACAATCGACTAATTCAAGGAAACGAGTTCAATGAAAAAATTACTACTTGTGTGAAAATATATCATATATGATATGGTATTTTCAAGATACTATCATATATATTTTCTCTACTCAAGAAGAAGATCAAAATGATGAAGTAAGTATATAAATAATTTTACTATTATATATATATATAACATTAATATCAAATAAATATTGATTTTTTTAAACAATATGATACACAATAGCACGAACAACCCCAATGTACTGGTCAACCTAGTCATATCCATGTTGGTCAACCGAGTAATCAACAACCTTATTCATATTTTGGATATGTTGGTCAACTTCGAAATTTACCTGCTCAATTTCAATTTGGAGGACAAGTTCCTCATACATTTACTTTGTTTCCATCTAAAACAAATATGTATTTCACTTCTTCCTTAACACCACCGTTAACATACAATCAAACACATTTTATGATTATTATGCCTAGTATGTCTCATATGCAGTATGTAAATGAAGATGCTGATAGACAAACAAACATTTAACCTCAATCATCACAAGATCGTAGGTAGGGATGACAATCAAACCCGTACCCGTGGTACCGATCCGTCCCCGCTCCGAATTTGATGGGGAAAACTGAGTTGACCGGGTTCAGATTTTCCCTGCTTTAAGAAATCGGGTTCGAGGGCGGGGATGAGTAATGCAATCCCCACCCCGACTTTATATTTAAACCTAAATTCTAAAATATTAACCCTTTTTCTCTTTACCTATTTGTCTTCTCTTCTTTTTTCATGTTACATATTAACCTTTAGTTTTCTTTTTTATATATATTTAAATTTAAATCTTAAGATATAACCCTTTATCTTTTCACATTACCTTTAGTCTTTTCACATTACCATTTTTATCTTCTTATAATACCATTTATCTTCTCATATTACATAGTGTGTTTCTTCATTTCACTTTACTTCCATCTATTTTTAATTTTTTTTCTTTTTCAATCTCTTCACATCTATTCTTAGTTCAACTCACATTTGGTTTCTCCTATCTCTTTAACTACTTTGACTTCTCTAATTGACTTCTTCAATATTTTCAACCAGTTTGTTGAATGCATAAGGTAATTTTTTGTTTATTTATCCTTTTTTTTTAAATATATACATCAATCTTAGTATTATTTTATTTCTAATTTGTTTTTATTAGGTTTCTATTATATTATGTTTTTGGGTTTACTATTCTTTTTTATCATATATCATATCTTATGTTAATTAAATAATTATATTTTTTTATCTTTTATGGCCAATGTAAGTCTTATTTAAAAAAAATAAACAAAGGAAAATATGGTAAAGAAGAAAAAATATTTAGGTAATTAACAATACATGTCTTGTTTATGGTGGTAGAGATTATTTTTATATAATGGAAAATAATGAAATAACACAAGTAAGTAAACATGAACCATTGTAAAGGAAAATCCTAACCTTGATATTCCTACTCCTACACCAAATGAAACCCCACAAGTAGTTGGAGATAATGAGCATGATGAGACTCAGGATCAAATCGGCTTAAAAGTAAGATTTGTCAACATTTCCAAAAGATTCAAGTTAATGGAGATGACAAGACTCAATGCAATTATTGTAAGAAACTTTTGGGAGAAAAATAAAAAAATGGGACGAAACACCTATGACAACACAATGATAATTGTATTCAATTCAATATTTCTATTAAAGGGAAAATATTTCTTACCCTAAAGTTATGCAAGGTAAACAATAGTTAGGTATAGGAATTTATGATGCAGAGCATTCAAGAAAAGAACGTTCACATGCAATTATTATGTATGAATATCCATTTTCAATTGTAGATCATATTGGTTTCAAGAGATACTCATATGTTGTCTAACCAGTATTTCAAGTTCCTTCTAGAAATACTATTAAAAATAAAATATTCAAAGTTTACAAGTCTGAGA